CAGCCCAAGTCGTGATTGGCAGAGGTCTTGATGTGGGCGGAGACAGCCCAAATCGTGATTGGCAGAGGTCTTGATGTGGGCGGAGACAGCCCAAATCGTGATTGGCGGATGTCTTAATATGGGCGGAGACAGCCCAAATCGTGATTGGCAGAGGTCTTGATGTGGGCGGAGACAGCCCAAATTGTGATTGGCAGACGTCTTGATGTGGGCGGAGACAGCCCAAATCGTGATTGGTGGATGTCTTAATATGGACGGAGACAGCCCAAATTGTGATTGGCAGAGGTCTTGATGTGGGCGGAGACAGCCCAAATTGTGATTGGCAGAGGTCTTGATGTGGGCGGAGACAGCCCAAATTGTGATTGGCAGATGTCTTAATGTGGGCTGAGATGGCCCTACTCGTGACTGGCGGAGGTCTTGATCTGGCTGGAGACGGCCCTACTCGTGATTGGCAGATGTCTTAATGTGGGCTGAGATGGCCCTACTCGTGATTGGCGGAGGTCTTGATCTGGCTGGAGACGGCCCTACTCGTGATTGGCGGAGGTCTTGATCTGGCTGGAGACGGCCCAACTCGTGATTGGCGGAGGTCTTAATGTGGGCGGAGACGGCCCTACTCGTGATTGGCGGAGGTCTTGATGTGGGCGAAGACGGTGGAGATGACATGTCAAGGGATGTGTGACAATATGGCTCGGTCAAAACATCCCTAACCAGCCTGTAAAAAAATCTTGATTTTTAGCGATCTTTTTACAGGCTGGTTAGGGATGTTTTGACCGAGCCATATTGTCACACATCCCTTCACGTACGACATTCACATTTCGTGCAGCTAGCACTTTCTTTTCTCAATTTATGGCTAAAATTAATCTTCAAAAACGTGTTGCTTCCTGCCCGACTCGACCAAGCTACTCCCCGCTGCCTCCAGCCTCCTCAAACCCCACTGTCAATCCGACCAATCACGTCTCTTGGGCCGTCTCGCCCACATTAAGACCTCTGCCAATCATGAGTAGGGGTGTCTCCGCCCACTTTAAGACCTCTGCCAATCACGAGTAGGGCTGTCTCCGCCCACTTTAAGACCTCTGCCAATCATGAGTAGGGCTGTCTCCGCCCACTTTAAGACCTCTGCCAATCACGAGTAGGGCCGTCTCCGCCCACAGGACATGTTCTGCAGAGACCCCCTTCTCAGATTGAGCTTTGCTAATGGTAACAAACGTCTCTGAGTCAGTAAATACAACCTAACTCAAAGTTTATTTTAAAAGATTTTCTAACATCCTGGTCCTTTAACCGCTCAGCTGTATCCATCCAGCCTGAACCCCCATCAGCAGAAATATTAATGCTTCCTTCAGACCTCCTCCAAACACTCCTCACAGCTGACTTCATGCTTTTCTGTCTTCATTTCTTAAAACTTTGCTACAAGCTGTTGGAGTCAACTGTGTCTGTCAGCAAAATATCTTTTGAACCACTTCATATTTTAGTCATCATTGGGTGTACATTTAAAAAATGATAAACCTTTGAACTCAGCAAACTTCAACATGGCTGCATTCAGTTATATAGAGCTAAGACTTGTGGTAGTAGCTGAGAGGCGTTCATTTCATGTCCTCTGAGCTCTCCACTGAAGCTGAAGGCCTGAAGGCAGCAGGCGACGTGCTTTATATCAACTTCAGAACAGAAACTGACACCAACTATTGACATCCTGTCAAACGTGGAACAAATCCAGTAAATAAAAACAATAAATACATCAAATAAAACACTTTCTGTGTTATTATATATTGTTATTATATATTATTATTATATATTACCAGGCTGCAGGTGATCTTGTTTTGTTACTTTGCTCTGGGGTCAGTTGTAATCCAAAATTTCAAAACAGTTTTTTATATATATAATTTTGAGTTTTCACTCTTGTTTTTTGTTGTTTTAGCAGCCGTGTTTTATTTGTATTTATTGGTCTGTCTGATCCACTCAGCAGGAGCTGGATAATTAATTATAAACAGATAAATTATGTGGTGCAGTGTTGGAGTGTCTGTTTGGTGTTGAGTCATCGCCTGCAGAAACAGAAATGAAAGCAGGTTGTTTCTTCAGAAGGAAACAGAAGCAGCCCAGGATGGGATGAAGTCACCTTCTGATGCTGACAGGATGACAGGAAGTCAGTTAATCACCTGATGATAAAGGTGCTGGTTACAGTTTAACGTCCAGCAGTAGAAAAGTCAAAGTTAGTTAGCGTGTAACTCCGTCCTCCTTGTTTTTAGAGGAGTGGGGTTTATTTTTAGCCTGCAGGATCCAGTTTGTGGTTTTCTAATGGCTGCTGCTGGCTGGTGCTTGTCCAGAGTTCAGTAAAGTGTTGCTGCTTATTAAGGCTTGTTTCAGCCCTCAGCTGCAGCTCGCTGAAGTTCACAGCTCAGGGTGACATGTTTAAAACTAAAGGCCTAGCCTGGAGTATCACCTGCTGCCTTTCATGTCACAGTTTTTACCCTGATGTTAAATCATGGAGTAGTGCTGGGCGGTATGACCTCAAATTCATATCAGGATATAAATTCAATCACGTCACAGTAATGGTACATATCACAGTAGAAAATTATCATAAAAAGCAAAGATAATGTAATTTTTAGAGCATTTATTTAGCAGAAAATTGATCATAATTAAACCCAGCATTTT